TTGTCCTCTAATGCCTATGCTTTTGATTTCCAACTTAATAATTAGTTCTAGTTTTTTAAAAAGGTTGGACATAGATAGGAAGAGATGAGATGGAGTCTGATCTCTTTATGTTTATACCTACTATTTGCATTGTACTGGCTGCATATGTTAGAAATAGTATCAGCCCCGAGGCTGCTTGCTTCAAAAACAGAACTATGATTAATTCAGTGCCAAATGTTTATGCATCAGGCAGAAATAAATTAGTATTCCTTTATAATTCAAACAAGACAAATTAGTGGCAATTAAAACTCTTTCATATACTTAAGAGTGCACTCTAACTCTCTCTTTTCTGCCTTTACAGCAAACGTTAGTTTCTAAGACATAACAGGAATGCTTTTTCATAGGGAAATGGCAGTGTTTCATGTGGAAAGCATTCCCTAAGCATGCTGTGGACAACTGTATATCCACCTCATAGCTATTGCTACAGCATTGAGGCTTCATTCATCTCTTCCCTGTGTCCCGCCTCTGGTCGTAAAATGGATCGTACATCCTTGGGTAAGGGAGATATTGATCCTTAACTTTGGCAGAATTATACCTACTACGTTGCTAGGTTTGTTCCATCTGAATAATTACATGTGTGTATATATAATGTAGGTGGTTATGTGTGTTTTTCATTTTGTGCTTGTCCAGTTTGTGATTTTTTTACTTGCTTAGGAGTGCTGAGTATGTGCAGTTGTGATGTCAGAAATAACTATAGCTTGCCAGTGCATTAGCTGAGAAGATAGCATCCCCAAGTATTGGCATACAAACAATGAATTACCTCTGTGAGAATGGTGGTCATTTCTGAGGTTAGCAGCTTCGGTATTATTGTAGGAAGTACATGTCTAATCTCTAAAACTTTAGCATTTCTTTTGAGAATGTCTGAAATGCAGATTAAAAGAAAGAGTCCCTGCCTTCAATTTGTACATAAACCCATGAATCAAAATCCAATGGAGAAAATGCTTTGATATTGAAAGTCAATTGACTCCTTGTTGCTTTGCTGTGTTACCTTTAACTTAGGTTCTCAGTGCTGTGCAAGTGCATTTGTCTTTATTAGGCTGGTGAATGTAGTCCTGTTCCAAATGAGTTTTTGTGTTTGCTCAGCAGATGCTTGCAAGAATAAGAATAATATTTGAAACACATTTTAATTATTGAGTCTATAAACAGTATTATAAATACTGGCAATCAACAGAACTAGAATTAGCTTTAGATGAATCAACTCCTAGCCTTTCTAGAGGATGATTCATTTTTAAATCTTAAAGCATTAGACAAATGATACATTTTTAAAGGTGAACATACCACTGAGGTTAGGACCTAACTATCTTTTAAGGGATGTCTTAGTGACTCACGCAGTAGTTAACTAAACAAAAATTCAGAAGAGGCACAGATTTTTCTTTTAATCTTAATCACTGAAGCACTATTAATCACTATTCGCAGGACAGTCTTCTCTTTTACTAGACAAAAAGAAATTACAGATTCTTTGGGCTGATTTAATATAGAGCAGTAGCCACCATAAAAAACCTGTTTGGATCATGCTGTGTATATAAACCCCTTTTTTGGGACAGAGTTTTACTAGAATACGGCTTTCCATGATTATCAAGCCAGGAAAAAGAAGACAGATCGCGAACTTGTAGGTGATGCACAAAGTTCTTACGTATAGGCAAGGCAATGCCACAGGAACAGTGCAGCGATGGAGGGTCAAAGCAAGGCCACGCTGCCACCTGCTGTCGCATAGGAGATGGTAGCCGGTTGATTTCCACGGCACACCGGGCACTCGTCAAGCAGGGGGTCGGAGCCGCGTGGAAACAGGGCAGGAGGCACTCAGCACAGGCAGGATGCCCACGGTGACCTTCTGTGCCTCCTGCGGGCTTCCGAGGAATCCCCAGAACCTGCCACAGGTCCATGTCTCTCAGAAGACGGCAACCGAGCAAGGCGTGGACTAACAGCAGTGATTAATTTGCTGCAGCCCAGGCTTTCCCTGTATTCTTTTCCCTGCTTTTCCTTGTATCCCTTCAGTAAAATAAATGGCCCTTTTATTGGACAGAAGGGTGAAGAGAACAGCAGTAGGGGATCCTGAGAGCCATAATTCCTGTTTATTTACCCGAAGATCCCAAACCCAGCCTCAGGTCTTCCTCTGCAGGACTCTTTTGTGAGAGCTGCACCCAGAGCAGGGCTAAGATGAGACATTCACACGCTCCCTAGGCACAGCACTGTACTCAAGTCTCTTGAGCATCTCCACAGTGATTCTCTGCATCTAAAACAACCACAGTATTTCCTATTTGCAAATAGTAACAAGTAGGAAAGCATTTATGATATGTATGTAATAAAGTAATTTAGAAAATATAAAATAGCCATGCAATTTACTTGTGGATAATGTAGCAGATTAAAAAAAAAAGAAGAAGAAAAAGCAACCTAAAGCTTGCTTATTTTCTGTGAATTACAAGAAAGGCCTTGATGAAAGGCATAGCATAACTATCAAATAAAATACCATTTTCATAGTATCATAGAATCATAGAATGGCCTGGGTTGAAAAGGGCCACAATGATCATCGAGTTTCAACCCCCCTGCTATGTGCAGGGTCACTAACCACTAGACCAGAGTGCCCAGAGCCACATCCAGCCTGGCCTTGAATGCCTCCAGGGTTTTTGCTAGTGCTGGATTCAGCTAGCTAAGTCCAAACCCTGCAGTGAGCTCTGCTGTGTAATGCTTAGGAAGTTTCTGCACAGTCTGTGCTGTGAAAACGATAACGTTTATCAAAGCTCTAAAAAGTACACATTCTCTGCTGCCATAAATAATCTAACAAAATGGCTGAGCTATATGGGAAACCTTGGCATGTTTGCTCAGGCCCTTGAAATGTAAATAGTCATAAGAACTCATCACACCAAGTTTTATTTTTTTATGAAACTTAATTTGAAATGCAGCATGTTGCCCTCTATCTGAAGAATTGTATATTCTGCTGCTATTGGATATGACAGGTTTTTGCATTAAAAACCCTCTTATTAAACGTAACCTTCAGTCACAGAAATGAGAATTACTACCAAAAAAAGTAAACGGACACCTTTTTGTCTGTTTTTTAGTTAGTTAGTTTATTTGTTTTTAATATTCAATATAATTATGCTGGTTCCCACAGTTAATCAATGAATAAGTTAGTAATAAGCTTCTGACACAGTGAAGGGATTCTTTAGAAACTTTTCAAAGCAAAGGAACTCAACGGAAGGAGAACTCTTGAAACACAATGGTTTATTATGGGACATGTTCTTCAGCTGGATAAATTGAAGGAGTGGCACCTTTGTAATAAAACTCCAGAATACATGCCTCCAGCAAGGAACAGATTAAAAGAAAAGCAAACAGAACTGTCACATCAGAGCCATCACCCATTGCCTCGGCCCTTTCCAGTTATCGACATTTCCAAAAGCAATGATTCCACTTCAGAACTGTTTTTCTGAAAGCGTTTTATAAACAAAAATTGAATTTTGAAAAGACAGTCTTTAAATAGGTTTCACTTGAAAATACTAGCATTTTGTATCACAATAGCACATATCATATCATAGGCAGAAAATGCCTTTCCTTTTCTGTAAATTCATGCTTTTCTGTAAAGTTATGCCTGAATATAATTTAAACATTACATATAAAGCATTTCCCATGGTATATATTTCAAATATACAGTGTTTACATTCTAAGATAACAATATTTTATAGCGTATTTGTGTTTTACATTTCTATCTGTATGTATGCTTTACCCATATCCAGATCTTTCTGAAACAAAATTTAACACAGGAAAGACTTCTTAATCAGAGCTTAGTATAACAGCTAGTGCTTTGGAACATGGAAATTTCATATTTTAATTTAGAAACAAGAAGAATTAATTTAAAAGCACAAGCACTTTTTGCTAGTGTAACAAAGTAATTTAGTATAGTAATTATAGTAATTTAGACAGGCGTTTCTAAATGTCATTTTTATTTTCTTCATAGAAGTCAAAGCTTGCTGAGGCGACAGTCTATGGATGATGCCACATTATTCATATAACAGGAATAAGGCTGACCAAAAAACTGCAGAAGGGCAATATGGAACCGAGTAACAGCGGAATATGGCAGTCAGTGAAGTCCAGTGTAAATGAATATCAATGAATACACACAGGGGAAAAAAAATGTCTTAATTGTACATGGTGAATAGCAAGTTTTGAAGTGATTGTAATTCAAGAAAAAAGATCTCAGAGTTACAACAGACATTTATGCATAACAGCTTTTGTGTTTGCCGAGTAGAGCTGGAGCGGGTGGACAAAAGCAGCCTAGAGAAGGTTGGGAAGGACTGGCTGTTATCTTTTCCAGTTCAAGGGCTGCGGACATCAAGCGAAGCAATGGGAATCAGGTTCCAAGTTTAAAAATGTGGAAGGTGAAGGTTCTTCAGACAACGGCTATTGGAGCTCTGGAACTACTTGCCAAAGGATGTGGTGAACAATAACCTCTGAATGGGTCAATGGGAGACTGAGCAAGTTTATGCAAGAGAGATCAGCTTTATTTCCTTATACTTGTTTAAACACTGTTTAATTCATCATTCTCTGTAGTCTGTCTTTACTTTGCCAGACTGTAACTTGCCTCGAGACATTCTAAGTGCCATGCAGTTTATTTCCAAGCAGATGACTGACGGGTGGGACGCTAAATTGCCATTGCTCTCTGTAATTGTGCTTCAAAATACTGCCTGGAAAAGACACTGAAAGCTGTCCAAGGCTAGCTATGAGATGGCCAGCAGTGCGTGCACTGCTCTCCACGGTGTAAGACTGCAGTGCAGAGGGGCGCACCCCACCTCCCACCCCTGACGCGAAACCTTCCCGCCCATCCCCTCGCACCGCCGGAGGCGTGACTCCCATAGGCGGGTTGCGGCCGGCGTGGCCTGCGATTGGCTCGGAGCGCGGCGAGCAGGTCACGTGACGGGGGAGGGACCAGCATCGGCCGAGCTGCTTATAGCCGCCGGACGGGAGGGAAGGGGGCAGTTCGTTGGGTGCTACGTGCGTGTTACTGCGGTGTGCTGTGGGCGAGCGGCCGGCGGTAAGCGGGGGCTCTGTGCTACTGGAGAAGAGCGGGGCTGGAAGGCTCTGCGTTTGGATCTTGGCGGGCTCCGGGCGCGCCTCTCCATTGGCTGCGCGGCGCAGGGGCGGGGCTCCGTCTCCCGCCATTTTGGGCGTGCGTTACTTCAGGTAGGGAGATAGGGTGCTTCTGAGGGGTGTCCGGGCTGCTACGGGAAGGCTGTGGGAAGGCTTCGCAGCTGCCGAGCTCGTGGTGACCTCTGGCATCTTGCTGGTGTAGGGCTAAAACGCGTGGAGCTCTGAGCTGAAGGAGCTTCCTAACCGCGTGACTTTGGCTGAGTTCTTAGTGCTGCTGTAAGAGCTTGCGAAGTGGGATCGTAATACTCTGGCTTTAGCCGTAGCCAGGTATTCTAATTTTTTTTTATTATTATTTTCTATTCTGCAGTGATCTGATGAATTCCAAAATGAAACAAAGCCTGAACGTGGAGAACCCATCTGGATCTCTGCAGGTATGAGCTTTGAGGTGCTGCTGCTAGAATGCAGGAGCATGTAAAGAACAGAAAGTGCAAGGTGCAAGTTGGTGAGTGCTGTGTTGTGAATAACCTTGGTGTGTTTGAAGGTGTGCACTGTGATGTCTTGGAAATGGGCTGTTAGAGACACAAACCACATATATCCACTTGAGGTATGCAATGTGCTCCCACCTGACTTAATGCTCTTGTCTTGGGAATGCTGTATTCTGCTTGAGTAGATGTGTTTGAGTGCTCTTCAGTTCACAACAAGTGTGTATTAGCTTAAGTCTGAGGTAGCTTGCTGTCTTAAAGCTGCTGCTGGCCTGCTGCAGTTCAGTTACTGTGTTTAGGGCTGTGTGTAGGGCTCTACAGAGTGGGTTCTGTTGTGGGGGTGAGCTTACAGGTGAAGCCATCTTGGTTTGAGCATACTGTAATTGTTGTATGTCTGTAGGTTTTTTTCTAGAACCACTTTAATAAGTCTTAATTGCCTTGAGATGATAGCAGAGCTTACTTTTATTTCCTAGCTAGCTGTTTAGAAGTTACCTGAGATTATACTGAACTTACTTTTTTTTTTAATTAAATGTAGACCTTGACTGGAACTGGAAAATATGACATAATGTAGTCTAATAGCACTCAAGAGAGATTGATTACAATAAGAATTTATTAGTGAAAATGATCTTCGATAAGTCTGCTTTTTTTTTTTTTGTACTTTCAAATACTTAATTGTGATGTGTTAAGTCAAGTATTAGTCAATAGTTCCCTGGCAGAGCATACTAAATGCTGGTCCTCAATAGCAGCAAGCAGTGTCTGACACAGTGTGATTCCTGTTCCCACAGTGGTTAGTGTTTGTCCTGCAGTTCAACAGCAGGGTAATTGGTGGCAGAAACTACCGTGGGAAAGGTGAGCTCCTGTCATACGAAGCATGGTGTGGATCGGTGACTTTCTCACGCTGGCGTGGCATTGTATTCTGGTTATTTTTGCTTGGTTTTCTGCCATTGTTTGCTGTCCCATGGTGGCCATGTAACCAACCCAATCAGAGAGCATTAGTGTAGGAAATAGATATTTACGTACAAGAAGAAAAGTAACAAATATATTGTTTATACAAAACAGTAGCCTGTCTGGAACCAAGCAAAGAAGTTGTGGCTTCACTCTGGTTAACTGAAGCAACACCATGTGTATAAATGAATACCGTTTATGTGTTCATAGACAGTAAAACCACCAATAAAACATTGTAGCATGGTAAATAAACTTGCTATTGCAGCCTTTGTTTCTGTTCCACCAGAGTGTAATACTGCTGTTGTCAAACATGGCTTTGGGAGCTTTCATTGTAGCATGTTATACTGCTTTTCAACTGGCCTTGGAATGTAGTCATGCATTTCTGCCCAGTGGCCTGTTTAAGCTCAGTTGAGAAGACTGAGGGTAGAGATTGAGCTTGGCTTGATAAGATTACCTCTGTTGTAGAAGACTATATTCCCTTCTTTGCATAATCTTCAAAGTAGGCTAAAATATCATCTCTTTTTGAAGAGGTGAACAGTCCATTATGCTAATGGCAACATGGCAAACTGGAGTTTCAGTTTATGTAGGTGTAAGTGTGGCAACCCTTTGAAGCAGTGTTTCCTTTCTTTAGAAGTACTTCACAGACACTGCATGCAGTGCTGCCCCAAGACGGACTCTTAAGATGATTCAGCCTTCTGCGAAAGGTTGCCTGGTTGGAAGGTGTAATGAGGTAAGAGAATCACTTGTAGCTGTGTAATTATTTCTGCTTGTACTGAAGCTTCAACTGAAAAACATGTAATCTACTAATTAGTGACATAATCTAAGCTTACTGTTTTAGTAACAGTACTTAAAATTAATAATTTTGGAGTATTTCAGGAGAACATTTGGGAATGTTCTTATAGAAAACATCCATTATAGTCAAATTTTATGTAAGCTTGAAATATGTGAAGAAATTGGAGGTGGTAGTCTTACTTGCAGTCCTGGATAAGCTTGCACTTGCTAACTTGTATTAAGAAAACAATAAAAACATACATTTAAATGCTGCTCTGAAACTAAACCTGCTTTTGTTTTATGCAGAAGAAATCTTCAGTCAAGAGGAAACTCTGGAATAACAGGCTTACCTCTTCAGCTTGTAAAGCTGAGGAATCTGTGGACAGAGAGCAAGAAAATGAGAATACAGATGATGTCATTCAAGCTGTAGATCTCATAAAAAGTATGTGGTAATTCTAAGAATAATTTCTTGCTCTTTAAATACTGTCTTTCTACTTGATATGACTTGAAGCATGGTTATTTTGTTAGGTGTTTTTATGTAGTGTTTGGGGGAGCTGATGATACTTTCCCACTGTAGTATGCTAAATGCAGTATAGTTGTCTGCTATTAAGAGTGGCTCCCAATACTGATTACTATGAACTCTGTGCAATTTTAAGTCTGGTAGTTCTCTACTTCAGCTTATCTATGGGCTTTCAACTGACTAAGCTGAAATGAAGGTCTGTTTTGCTGTAGGGTGCTGATGCTGAAGCTCCTGAGTTTCTCAGGACTAATTATAAAATACTGTGGGTTTTGTGGGTGTCAGTGTTCAGTGTGGACAGTGACTTAAGAGTAAGACTCGTGTCTTCCACATGCTGTAATATTTGGGACATCTTCTAGGAGACTCAGCCTATATAGCCACTAATAAATGTGGGATCTTTTTCTCTGAACTTGTGTTTCTCAATGTAAATGTGCTACTAAGTGTGTGGGGAAAACACTACACAGTTTCTATTCTTGCAGTATCTGGAGTGCTTGTATGTGAGTTAGGTACCTTAAGGTGATCTCCTGAGTTCAGTCCTAGCTTGGACTTACTGTAGCTTCTTACTTTAGAAAGTCCTTCATCTCAATATTGGAAAGAAGTGGCTGAAGAAAGGAGGAAGGCTCTGTATGAAGTGCTTCAAGAAAATGAAAAGGTAGCTGGTGAAAGTTAACTAACTTTTGTACCACCACCAGCTATTGTTCCTCTGTTTTAACAACACTGTTTTGTTCAATTCAGTTGCACAAAGAGATCGAACAAAAAGATGGTGAAATCGCCCGCCTAAAGGAGGAAAATGAGGAGCTCATGTCACTGGCTGAACACGTGCATTATTTGACCAGCATGATCGAGGTACTTAAAAGCAACATTGTGGGATGAAATATGAGAGATCTGTGAGGCTGTTATTAGCAAAGCATGACTTCATTTGTGTGCTCATAGAAATGTAGATTATTGTTTGAGCTGCTTTCCACAGGCTAGCTCTGATAAGAGGCATAAGAGCCCTTTTTGGGGAATGAGTTTTTCTCCAGCTTACACTTGGTTAAGGAGCTGCAGCAGTATCAGAAGTACTTGGGAGATATGTTCTCCAAAATGAAGATTCAACCTGTTGTTTCCCAAGAACAGTCTGTGCATGTTAGAGATAGTGACATGCAAAGGAAGAATTAACTTGCACTTTATTGGGATGAGTTAACTTTTTTGCCACTTTGTGGCCTAAGGGAAGCCTAATGTACAAAGCCTGTCTGCAAGGCTTACAAACTTTTAAACTGTAAAATGGCTTGTTTAATTAAAAGTGGTACTATGATGCTAATATTGCTGAACTCAATAAAAATTGAAAAGTATGCTTGATCAGCAGAAGGTCTCAACAAAGAGCTGGGAACCAGAGCTTACTTACAGCCTTACTCTTTTAAGGGAGAGTGCATCTCTATGCCTCAAGGAAGATAAGTCACCTGCAAGAGCTAAGGCTGATTCTACTGGCTGCTGAATAGTTCTTGAAAACAACATGTTTTGTGCTTTAAATTGCAGACCTACAGTAGATTTAATTTCTGGAAGTAGCTGCTGTTCTTTCTCTCTGAGAGTTCCTTGGAGACTGGTAGCCTTGCTGCTGAGTCTGTGAAAGCAGGAATAGCTTGCCTATAGCAGCCCTGGAACTATAACAAATAAGCAGCCATGAAACCTGGATGTAGATATGATCATGTAGTTGGTTAGTGTCTGGACTGAGCTCTCTTGTGACATAAGAAGCTGGGTGCCTGGCAGTCTACTTCAGTTATCTGATTGGACTGGACCAGTTGATCAAGTTTACTTCATGAATTTCACAGTAATCTTCAAGTTTCAGTTAGTGTGATTATTTAGATCAGTCTTAAGACTCCATTGATTTACTCCACCTGATATTTCTGTTATTCAGGGAGTGTTGCTTGTTACTGACAGACTCCCATGCAGAAATAATAAGCTTGAAGTAATGCTAAAGCATTAATTGTATGTAAAACATTTTCAAATACATCTTCTGAGGAATGAGGTATATGAACCATGTCATGCACTGTTTTAGTGATTACTAAACTCACTTCAGGCTGTCTTACTGGTTATTAAATTCATACAATCCCCTGTGGTTTTTCTAGAGGCTAACAGGGCAAGAATCTGATAATCTTGAGACACTGGACAGTCTGGCTTTAGATGAATCCAAGCAAGAAAATGAAGAACTTAACCTTGGTGGTGATGCAGACAGCACTTCTTCAGAAGGGCCATCACAAGCATTGTGTGACTTAAGGAAGAGTGTCTTGCTTCAAGTGAAGGAAATTAACAACTGTGACCTTAAGTAGGCTTATGTATGTGGATTCTTTTAATTGCAGACTTCCCCTTGAAAGGACATACTACATCTTCTCAGGGTATAGAAACTCTTGTGGGAGCATGAGGGTGGCTTTTAACTGAAATTATGTAGCAGGGATTATCTCTATACTGCTTGTAAAACTTATTACAGGCTGCAGTTAGTTACTTGTTTAAAATGCAAATACTGTGTATTTCAAACTGTTGTTTAAGTATCAAATGGTCTGACATAATGCATGAGAACTGAGAAATAAATTTTTGCCTTACCAAAGCAGTGTCTTGTCTGAGTTGAGGAATGGCTAATTTTAAGCTCCACAAGTTGATTGTGGCTACTGTAGATGGAAGTTCTCAGTGTTTTTAGGACTACCTGGGCACTTCTGAACTCCCTTGGTTTATTTTTATTTTATCTAGAATTCTGGAGAGCAGAATGGCTTGAGGGGAAGGGAAAAGCAAAAGCTGGAAAAAAACTTGAGTGCTGTTGGTGAGATGTAAGATTTTTTTTTTCTGAATGGATAATAAGACTTCAAATTGATTCTGAGGTTTAGTTAAACCCTTGCTTTGTCACTCTTAAATTATTGCTGCTGTCTTTTAAAGGAGCCTTTTCCAAGGCGTATAGGTGAAAGCTTAAATAGAAAATGGTAGGGTTTTTTGAAATTTAAATTTGTCAGCTTATAGAATAGCTCAGTTGGAAGGGACCTGTGGAGATCAAGTCCAGATCTTGAGAGCTTTAGGAGCTAACCAGAAGTGTAAAGCTCATCACTGAGGGCAAAATTGTCAAAATGCTTCTTGAGCTGCTGACAGCTATGGTGTTTACCACCTCACTAAGAAGCCTGTTGCAGTGTTCCACCAACCTCACAGTAAAGAATGCTTTATTAATGTCCAGTCTGAAACTCACCTGCATGTTTTGTGCTGTTGTTCTGTTATTGGTAATAAAGGAGCAGAGCCTGCTGCCTCTTGAGGAGAGCAAACAGATGGAGACCACTCAGACTTGTGTACTCTGCCTCTCCTAGCAAGATGTAGCTTTCAGCCCTGTTACAAGCTTTGCCTTCTTTTGTGTGCTTTCAAAGGCCTTAGTGTATTTTATATTGTGGGGGGCAGAACTGCATCAGTGCAAGTATAGCAAGAGGATTGCCTCTGTTCACTGCTGGGCTATGCTTTAATACCCCCCGAATGTGGTTTGCCCTTGGCTGCCAGGACATGCTGCTGGCACATGCTGAGCCTGCTGTCACCACCTCCAGTCACTTTCTGCTGAGCTGCTCATCTCCTACTCTGTACCTGTGCCAGGCATTACTTTTCCAAACACAGAACCCAGCAATTACCTTTAAACATCGTGCTATTGCTATTACCCACTTCTCCATGGTAACTAGATCCCTCTGAAGCCTCCCCTGGATGCTCTTGCTTGCTCTTCAGCAGCTGTTCTGAGAACTTGATAAAGATGAAGTAGCCATGCTTCAGAGCTGTTCCAAATGGAAACTTGCTGTCTGTTTTCAGAGTACTGTTCTTGGTATTTACCAAGGGATGAGGCAGTATGTTTGCCAGTACAGTGTTTACAAATGTTTCTCTTGTAAATACTTCAAGTCTTTAAGTGTTTACAAGAACAAAAGGTACACTTGAAAAACTTTTGAGGACCTTATCTGATAGCCATATACAGGAATTAAGTATTTCCAGCTCCAAGTGCTGAGGTACAAGGGAGAGTAGTGCAAGCTTTCTAGTCTTGGGTGGGATTTTGGTAGTTGTTTGGCAAGGGTCTTCCTTGGACAGGCTCTAAAAGAAGGTGGTGGCAATTGCAATGCCCTGTGAAGAGCTTAATGCAAAATGCAATGCTGCATGACTTTCAGCTGGCTGAAATAATCGGGGATTTTAGTTAGTGGGTTTCTATCAGACCTTCCCAAAGCAGGTGTTTCAGGGCATGCACAAATGCCTTCAGAGCTATCAGATTGGTATTTTTAGATTTCTTCTGTATACTATTGTTTCCACATGGGTGCCAGTTAACACCTGTTTCACAACACATTTAAATGGGTATATTGGAATCATTACAGGATTTCTGGCTTCCATTTAGTCCTGAATCTGGTAAGCAAAGCAAGGCACCGTGTTTTCCTGGGAATGTAATAAACAAAAGATTACACCCTTCAGTTGTGCTCAGAGGACTAAACAGAATTCTTTCCATCGCAGGTGTTTCCTTTAACTTGTGATAATGCAATGCTCTACTGAGCAAAACTAAAACAAACAAACCTAACAGCTTGGATAACGGCTAACTTTTGCAGAATAATTTTCTTCTTGGGGGAGGTGGGTAATATGGTCAAGTGACCTTATTGCCTGGATTCTAAAGTAGTGAAGGTTTTTCATGCCAAAGTAGTTAAGCAGTAGAAGCTGAGGAGACAGTTTTAACTTTTCATAGCAGACCTTTTATGCAGTGGAATTGAATTTATTTGTAGTTTCTTCTTAGGTAGTGTTATTTTCAACATTTGGAGTAGTTTACGTTTCCTCCTTCCTTATAGAAGGCTATAAAGTTTCATACATAATTCCTTGGCAAGTTAGACCAAGCGAGTGGAGGCAGCTGTTGGAACTCTTTTCATGTTTTGGTGTTTTCTAATTGATACAACACAAGCTTGAATGCTTGATAAAACAATTGTCAGAATGCTCTAAACCCAGAATTCGCATGCACCATCTGCATCTTGCATTTGTCTCATCTTCATTAAAACAGCCAAGAAGAATGTTTATTAGATCTAAATTGTGTGCTGTTTTTTTATTAAGTTCAAGTAACAAAGGAAAGATGCTTTTGAGTACTTGGATCTTTCTTTGAGTTGAGAAGGACTTTGTGCTAAGTAAATCTTTCATGTCATTCATGTATTCTTTATACCCTGCAGCATTTGGCCAGCCTGTGATTAGAACACCTCTTACTTTCAAAAATACACAGGTCAGTTAGTAATTACAGCATGCTTGCACTGGACAACTCCAATGCATACTGTGGCAATTATCAGAGAAACTAGTTTTGTTATTGAAAAAAAAACATACTGTGAGAAGACCAGCTGTGAGAGATGAACTGTGGCTTGGAAGCTGAATCTTTGTGTTCTTTGTTGCAGATGTATTGGACCTTGATCAAGTAATATCTCCTTGTTATATCAGAAATATTAACTATAGAAACATTATCAGGAGCCTTGTGCTGCTGCATTCATCGCTGTTTAAAAATGTCCTAAAACAGTTGTTTCATTTTTTTTTTGTCCTGAATTCATTTTTTTAAACATACATGCATTGAAGTTGTCTTATCAAAGTACGAGAACTTTCTATGTGTGGAAAAACTTGTCAAATGTGTGGAAGTTACATGTAGGTTATATGTATCTGTTACAGACATCTGACGTTTTATTTCTGTTCAAATACGTAAGGAAACTTTCGCTTACCACAGAAGCACAGCTCTGCAGCTGAAAAGCATCACTAATGACAAAGGTATTTCATATCCAGCTAAATTACAGAGAACACTGTCATGCAAAACAAAATTATCAGTTCTGGGACCTAAGTAGAGAAGGTGATTTTTCCAAGAAGTCATAAATGCCTTTGTGCAGCTACCTAACCAGCATGCTGCCTCTTTTTCATTGTTCAGCCTGTGGTCACAGTTTGATCTTTTGCTGATGGACCTTAAAGTTTCACAGATGTGGGATGCATTTACTGGGTCCTGGCACTTTTCCACAAAGAAATATGCACGCCTTGAGGACAGAATGTCAGGTATGTAAGACTGAAGTGTTGTGAGTCTGGACATGTTTCAGGAAGGAACAGCTGTGCCTGGACTAGCAGAGACAAGTAATCATTGGTTTGGAGGGGGCTCATGTTAGGAAGAATGTTTTAGCTGGAAGACAAGCTCAGCAAAAATAACCATCTCAGTGCAGAAGTTCATTGTATTGAAGACAATGCACGGAGAAGTGAATTAGACCATAATAACTCCTTGGCTGGACAACTAAAATCACTTGATGTTTGGCACTGTATTGCTTGCCTGAGTGACCACAGCACTGACATGTGCTGCAGCTTACTTTGCAGCCTGCACACAAATAAGAAAAAAAGATCAGTTTAGTTTTTTTCAAAGGAAGTACACTGTGTATTCATTTACTTTTCCTTAAGGGCCGTCTGAGGTTGTTTTTAGAACTGAATTTGAGATTTTGAGCAGGTTTGAAAATCTACCAAGCCCTCATGTTATTAGTGCTCTGTTCCTGCTGAGACTGAATTGCATTGTTACCAGCTCTTTCTTCAGAAATCATTATTGTGTATTGTTAACTTATGTTTCCATTCACGTAATAACAGGGTAGTTGAGAAATGATAAGGATGAGGAAATGATAAGAAAACTATTTTCTGCTGCTTTGTAGATCTGCCAACTGACCATGATGAAATGTGATTGGTCATGTTCGAGGCCAAACCCTGGGGACAGCGATACCTCTGGGGCACCTAAACCAGCTGAAGAGGAGCACTGTGGGTTCTATCATCAGGTAGGATTGCAAATTGAGGTCCATATATAGGATACACAGTCCAGCAATCCTACAGACTTCTAGTTTTGAATGTTTCATGTAATAATCAGTATATAACAGACTGCAGCATGGAGCAAAGCTACATTAGGTGGCTTTTTGGAGGCATGCTGATTCCAGGAGGAATCTTACGGATGGCAACGAGAAGCTTTGGGCAGGCAGATTGCTTCTGCTGCTGTAGCTGGAGGCTGTAGGTAACTGTTATCTACTGGGCAGAACCCAGCAATGCTGACAGCATGGTGAAAACCATGGTAGTTCACAAAAAGTGTGAGGGGTAAAAAATAAGAACAAGCCACTGACACAAACACCAGGCAAATTTGATTCCTGAGAGCACTTAACCTGACGTGCTCCTTAGACTCCACTGCTGCTGAGCAGGAACTGTTTTCTTCACATGCTTTTCTGGACCTAGTTTTAATGGGTTTTTAGAAGGCTCAAGGTGTTTGCTTTTTCAAGAACTTGTAACACTGAGGGCAGAAACTGCTGAGATTCCTGTTTGGTTACTTAAACTGAATGTAGGTTTTTTTTCCTGTATGTTGTCACAAATCATGTTAAGACAAGACTTTTTCTTTTAGAAAAAAAGTAAATAAAAGAAAGCTAGTGCTTAAACTTACCTTTAGCCTTTATACATCTATATGCCAGGTTCAAGCTTGTCAGTCTCAGGTACCACAATAAAAAACAAACTCTGTGTCTCAGTGTTTGCACTCAGATATCTGTGAATTTCCTCACTGAGTCTGAGGGCGCAATTTTCTCATACCCATTTGGT